AAGCAGCAGTAGGTCAGAACATAGTGGATGGCATTCACTACAGGTGTTGTTATAACAGATATTGGAAACCACCTTAAGTAAGGTACACCAATTATATAGTGTTTTAGTTAGCTTTTTCTTCGCCGAGACCAAAAAACCTGTCAAGAACAATTTTAGAGGAAGAAAAGTTTATTCTGTGCTCATGGTTTCAGAGGTCTCAGTCTGTAGACAGCGAACTCTGTTGCTCTGTGCTGGAGGTGAGACAGAATATCATGGTGGAGGGCGTGATAGAGGAAAGTAGCTCAGAACATGACAATCAGAAAGCAGAGAAAGACTAAGCTCAGCTCACTAGAGGCAGAATATCTAACCCAAAAGCATGTCCCCAGTGACTCGGCTCCTTTAGCCACACCATACCAGTCTATAGTTCTCACCCAGGTAATCCAGTCAAGTGGATTAATGCACTGATTAGGTTAAGGCTCTAATAAACTGATCATTTTACCTCTAAACTTTCTTGCATTGTCTCTCACATGAGCTTTTGGGGGACACCTCATCTCTAAATTATAACAATAAGGAATAAAATATGCAACTACTAAACGTGATAATTAGAGAAACTGGTGCCCTTGATATATTTAAAGTTTAAAAAGCACATTGTAGAATAATGTGTATTGTATGATACTGTTTCTGTGCAAAAGCAATCCCTATATCTATGGGTGTGTGTATGAATCTGGATAAAAGGCTTTCTCCTGGAGAGAATATTCTCTTGAATGATATGCTTGTCAATCTCAGGGAGAGGGGATTTGGAATGGGGGCAAATCATTATATATTTGGAGGAAAAAAGTATAGACTTCTGACATATCATACAAATCTATACTTTGTCTATTTCATTAAACTCTCAATGATTAGTTAATAAATCTTCCTTGATTAAAAGAAACTCTTGTATTTGAGTTTTCTTACTGGCCTTCTGTTCTCCTCATTGGGTCAACAGTTCCAGAGGTTTGTTCTTCCTGTGCCTGAAATGAAGATGCCAAAATTTCCCCCAAGGAGGGCCCATTATCAGCCATCTGCATGGAGGACAAAATGGGGTGACGAGGATGTCATGAATGTGCAGCTTTCACCGGTTCTAACTATTGGTGAGAGGTTTGCTGCAGATTCTCTGCAGATTCTGAGCAAGGGAGATGTGCTAGTGAGGCCCCCACTTGCACTTAGCCCAGTGGCCGTTTCTTAGGGAATATTGATCAAAAGTGCTCACCTCTCTCATCCGAGGAGCATAATGCAGTCTGTGAGTATTCATGGAAAAAAGCTTTTCTTGGCTGGGCTATTTTCTGAAGTCAAAAAGATCCTTTCAGGATCTATAATAGCAAGCCCTTCCCACTTCACACCCTCAGTGAAAAGCACACTCCAATTTTCAGACCCCTGGAACCCCACGCCAAGGAGAAAGCTGAGGAGTTGGACCTATTCATTTAAAATATTCTATGTCAGACTCAGCAAGCATTTTTGGAAAGGGGTATCACATAAATGTAAGGCTAAAAATTACACTTGGATACATAGGACGGTGTGCTCTTGTTCTTGAGAGGATTTATACATTTATTCTTTCTTAAAATAATGCTTTAAATAGAGTCTCCAATCACATACATAATGTAGTCTGATGTCTAAGGCAGCATTTCTTGATGTGAATATAAAAAAGTCTATCTGATCAGTGATTTTCATGTCTGAAATGGTGCAGAAGGGAAGACTCTAACTTGGACTTCCCAGTTTCTCTGACTTTGATTCTATAAAAGGCAGAATTTTCCCAGACATCTGATTTTTGTTTCTGCTTACAGTGCTAAGGATCAACCCAGGGCTTTGCACATGCTGGACAAGTTCTAAGACAAATATTTCTTAATGTGATAGGCAATTCAGGTTAGGAGACACTTAGGTATTAAAAATGTCTTTAATTTAAAATTCTAAAAATAACAATAACAAAGAAGCAATCTCCAAGCAAATTCTTCTTTTCCTCTTCAGAAGGATTTCAGAGAGTTCTTCTGGTTTTGATGCCACTGTTTCACATTTGAGAGCAACTTTGGGGCAGAGAGAACATGCCTAAGGTTTGAAAGGCCCCTGCCTCCTGGGCAGTCAGCTGGTCTCCTCATGCTCTCTGAGGATGAGGGTGGACCATGAAGACATTGGTTTTGGAAGCAAGTGTTTTTGTATTCACTCAAAGATGCTTCTCGTGGTATTTAAGAGAACCAATCTGTCTTTACCTTCTTTCTCTGAAACTCCAGACCCATAAAATTTTTTTTCAAGAGGCAATATACAATTTTAATCAAGCTGTCTGTAATGAGTGCTCAAAAAGCATGTGACTCTCTGAATGCAGAGAGTGAGAATGACCTTCCAGAATGTGGCTGACCTGCCCAGGCCTCACACCAGGAGGTGTGGGAAGTCTGCCTATGTGGCAGGTTCTTCGCTTCAAAAGTATTTTTCAGTAAAGATATCAGCAATTTTTTTTTTGAAAAATGTTCTATCTAGTGGTTTCTTGGAGTCCCAGAGTGAGATTAATTCCAAGTGTTTTCATTTTGGACTAGAAGGAGAGTGGGTGACAGTCTCCTGGTAGAGCCAGTTCCTTGCACTGGTGATCAACCTAGTCTGTTTTGTGCTTGGTCCATATAACAGTAGGGTCAAAGTGGCCTTGGATTTGACTATAGAGATACCTTCACAGTGGCCAAAAGGTACATGGAAATTACATTTTTTTTCTGTTTTCTTTATTGGTACTTGGGATGGAATTCAGGGGTGCTCTACCACTGAGCCATATCTCCAGCCCTTTTTCTAATTTTGAGATAGAGTCTCATTAAGTTATTGAAACTGGCCTTGAATTCGTGATCCTCCTGCTTTAGCCTCCTGAGCCACCAGGATTCCAGGTGTGCCATCGTGCCTGGCAGAAATTACATTTTCAACAAATAGTCCATGCACTGGTTAAGAACTCTGTTTAAGCTGCTAAATGAGGGTGTCATCATGAAGCAGAAACCAGGAGACTCAGCTCCTGTCTCAAGTCCCACTTTTTTAGCTGTGTGAAACCCAGTGAGCCAATATCTTCAGGCCTCAGTTCTTATAGCTATGGAAGGAAGTGGGTGAGTTATGGAGGATGCCCTTTCCAGCTGTAAACCTGTGCCTTGAGTAAATTAAATACAAAGGGATGAAGTTTACTTTATGTTTCATTTCTACAACTTTCATTTTTTGGTTTAAAAAATGAAATGCAATTAAAACCATGTCCATTTATAGAAGGGAAAGTAAATGATAATAGTGCTCCTTGACATGAATGGTTTAATAAATCAAAGTGGCCTCAATTTAGTTTATACACCTATACAACATCATAACACTAGCACAAGTGTGTATAGAAGTAAACAAATATAAATGTCTGCATCTTTTTGATGGGAGATTTTTCTTCGAGCAATACAAAATAACTCCAAAATTTTTCCTGGGATCCCTAGAAAAATTATATTAAGACCAGGATATACCTTAGGAATATTCTTTCTTTAAATTCTGGAACCTGACAAAAATCAAGTAAAATTTATGTCAGCAATGCTTGAAGCAATGGTCCCTTTTGAGACCACTGAAAGTGGGATTTGCTTTGGAATTTTGATGATGGTGTTAAATGATATAGCCTGAGACTTGGCAAGTTTCTTTTTTCTTTTTTGGTACTTGGGATTTAACCCAGGGTGCTTAACCACTGAACAACATCCCCAGCCCTTGACAAGTGTTTTTTATGATGGCCTGGTCACTTACAGGAAGCATGATGGACTTTAATGTTCCCTGCCCCATTTTTTCACTATAAATAATAAAGTAACCTTTTGAATGAGATTTTCATAAAATATCCTTTGAATTTCAAATGGCCATTTTTAGATCTGAAAAGTATGCCAAAATTATCCTAGGATGAAACTTCCAGGGAATCCTGGACAATCATATTTTAAACTGAATTGTGAGCGAGGAGCAGAAACATAGCTCCATGAAGTGATTATAGAGCTACAGGGGTACTTGCTTCCCAGAACACCAATCAATGGAACTGACTCAAGCTCCTGAACTCAACTGTATCTGCAGCCAGCATCCTCTGAGAAGCTTTAAGAAACATAGAAGCCGAGGTTCCACCACAGACATTGAAGGTAAGAATCTAGGTGGGGAATGACGAAGCAGGAATCTGAATCTTAGGAAGCTTCCTAAATGAAGCTAATTCATGAGGCTGGGAACCACTATTTTTAGGACAGAGCACTCTAAAGCTTCATATCAAGCTTCATTCTATGAGGAACCAAGGATTAAAAGCAGGACATATCGGTAAGCAAGCTCTTGGTATCAGACAAGAGCTAAAAGGAAGCCAAATTGATTCAGAACCCTCTTAACTCCTGGGAACTTACCTGGATGACCCTTTTAAAGATCACTGACATGTTTCACAAATAATAAGTCCTCAATAAGGATTTGAAAAATGGACAAGTAAAATGAGGGTATCTTACAAACTTGGTTGTCTTAACATCCTGAGAGTTCACTGCTTTTCAGAGCCCAGAGTGGTCGCAGATGTAGGCAAGGAGGCAGTTGGAGTCCTTAGGCAGGGCTATCAACCTTTGCCACACCAGCAGAAGGCCATATTACATTTTGTCTATTACTTAAAAAGACAACCCACCTGGTAGGACCAGAAGGGTGGGGCTAGTACAAGTTCTGCTCTAGAGTCAGCAAGGATGAAGCTTACTGTGGGCCTTGATACCAACTGCAACAACAGGCAATACTGACCCAGTCATTTCACCACAAAGAGAGGGACAGGCTGTATAGATGGGAATGATACTTGGACATAGATCCTCTGGTGACTGGATCTTAGCATTCTACACTATAAACCACAAGGTCAGTTTTACTACACATGAATAAACTTGCCTGGGCTGGTTTAAAAAAATGTTTTTGAACAACCTTGTCCAATAAAAATGTAAACCACCTTTTTATTAGATGCCAGGATAAACTTTATTTTCCTACAAACCATAGAATGACCCAAACATATAGCATCTCAGTGCTGTTTCTCCACTTTATTAAATCATCACAGTAAATCAGAATTCAAGGGGAAGAGGGTAGAGAGTCAAGAGACGTCATCAGTGGAGCTGTGTGCTTTCCTGGGCATGACTGCCTCTGTAAAGTGGGTCCTGGCGTGTGCATACACGCATGTGCACGTGTACACACACACACACACACACACACACCTGGGAAAGTGGACTAGATGTGAAGGTTTCTATCACCTAAGAATGAACCTAGATGTGCAGCATCAGGAAAATTAAATAAAAAGAGACAGCAAAATAAGGATCAAATGACAGCTATAACTTAATTTACCATATTTATCAAATTTTCCCCCTATTTACACATTGTAGACCTAAAAATATAAGAAAACATTCACTTAATGTGTATGTCATACAGAGATATTGAGTGCAACTACAACGATGGTTGTTTCTCGTTGAATTTCCCTTCAGATTGGACATCTGCCTTCTGTAGATAAAAACTAACACAGCTATATGTAAGACATCACAGTAAATTTTAAAGGATTCACCAAATCTCCACTTGATGCAAGGATAACAGGTCAGTTGCACCCAGGTGGTGACACCTGAGAAAGCTCAGGAAGACTGGATTTGCATGGCTCTCTGAATCTTCCATGATCTCTTGTTTGTAAGGCTAAGGGTCCTGATTAATCAACCCACATCACAAAGTCAAGGGTCCCCTCCACCCCATGGCTCTTAAAAGCTGCAAGTGTGGCAGCTGAAGACACCGTGACAGTCACTTACCCGGGCTAAGTTTCTTTCCTTGTGTCTGCTCAAGGATTAACTACTTTTTAAAAGTTATTTTGTGGAACTACTATTTTTAAAGTATAAAATCGTGATCAATGATATGATAAAAATCAGTTAACTCTAAGTGGAAATCCGGAAATCGTCATGCAGAGAAATGAGGGAATTGCCCAGGCCCAGTGCGAGGCCAGCAAATCTTATCACATTCTGGGCCAATTAGGAACACTTGTGTTTACAGATGGCTGAACTACTAATACTAATGTGATGAGTCAGCGCTGTGACTCAGGAGGGTCTCTACTGGATGAGTGACCCTCAGCAATTTTGCTAAGAGGCATTTATTACAAAAACACAATATTTACTTTTCTAACTGAAAAAAAAAATTCCTCATTTCAATTTTCCACCCCAAATAACAAAAACGACCAAGTTCATGTGATTGCAAGCAAACATGGTTGCCAGAGTCCCTGCTTCCCCACTCCATCTCCAAACCAAAGCTGTTACTGAGAACAGTGGACTAAAAGAAAAAAAAAAACAAAAACCTCTAGTCACAAAACTGCTGGCTGTCATCTGGGGTCACAGCGTTGTTAAAATCACTAGGGATTACATGAAGGTTGAGTTATTTGCTACCTACAATTGAATTTCCCACTCCAAGGTCAGAAGCTCTGGTTCATGGAGGCAAAATGAATCATGGAGCAGAGGTCCAGGGGAGTTAAATATGACTTCCAGGATGTTCCCTAGTGGCAGATGCTTGCCTAGCATGCACAAGGTCCCTAGTTCTGTTCCCAACACCATTAAAAAAAAAAAAAAAGACTTCCAAATTCTTCTACTTCAGCCAGGAATTCTGCAACAGAAATTTCTAGAGCCTGGAGATAAAACATTCTGTGGGAAGTTATTTGCTGCCAGAGTGCTATGGGGGACTCAGGACCCCAGGAACAGGTGATGTGCTTCTCTATAGGAAAAAAGTCTGGGTACTTTGTAAACATGAAACCAAGTGTATCAATCACAGTCAAAAGCCTGAGCAATACTGGCCAAACTCTGCTGACCAGGAAGCCCAAATTACTTAAAGAAAAGGAAAGGATGGGAGGGGGAGTGGGTGAGAATAAGAAGCAAGGCATTTGCTAGCAGGATAGGAAACACCATGATTTCTAGTCACCCTTTCTTTTGTCACTAATCCCCAAAGAAGTGAATGCACTGGGCTATTAGAAAATAGCCCCAAAGTGCTGGAGATGTAGTTCAGTGGTAGAGCTCTTATCTAGGAGGTTCAAGGCATTGGGGTTTAGTCCCCAGCACTGCTCACGCCCCAAAAGAAAACATCCCAAAGTGATTAAAGCTTACTTCTACTTAGCAATGTCCCCCATTCTCTTACATTCAAACAGCTCTGTCCAATGGTCCTGGGACTCAATCTCTGCCTGAATCCTACATAAAGTAGACAGACTCTTCCTAACACTGGAAGTTCCACTTTTCTGATGGGAATGATGTTCTTAGTCTTTCTCACTTGTCCCAAGAGTGAGTCTGACACCTGGGTCTGCCCCTACTAGGTATCAGCCAAATCAACTCAATGGCTCATGAAAAAATTGGTTCCTCAGGGAAAGTGTAACATACAAGTGTGTGTGAAGAGCAGAAGGCAGCATGCAGGAAGGTGGGAAGGTGTGTACACACCTTTTCATATCCAGGGCCAATCATGGCTGCATATTGCCTACTGCTTTCCCACTCTAAACCAAGGGGCATTGTGCACTATGAAATGGTCTCACAAGAGCAAGAACTGTGCAGTGTGTGATGGCCTCTGATGAGTTTCTTAGATTTCTCTTGGAGGTAGAGGGGCAAACTTCTAGCTCTGAGACTGCTCCCAGGGGCGGGACACAGGAAGAAGGCTGTCTTCCCTATGGATTGATTTCCCTGTTGCTACATGGCAGGGTTCACCCAGAGATGCCCAGCAAGGGAGCAGAGCAAGCCCAGACAGAAGACAGGATTTTTTATTTTCTTCCTTTCCTTCTCTCCTTCCTTCTTTTCTTTCTCTTCCCTTTATTATCTTTTTTAACAGGTCGAAATGGGTAAAAAACTATGGATCAAATAAATCTCTTGCTTGCAATCTGCATGACAAGAAGCATTTCCAAGGCCTGTCTTGGCCCTCTTTGAGTAATAGCCAGGAGGGAAAATGAAGGTGAAGCTTTGGAGGCATCTGGACTTTCTAGAGTGTCCATCCACCTCACTGTGGCACCAGACACTGGCATTTGCCTTTTGTAAGGATGTGGGACTAACCCTGGGGTTTCTTCTTGTCTTACAAGATAGGACGTCTGTCTCACAGGATAGGACCTTGTATTTCTAGAGACTTCTGAGTGTTCTGGGATAGGATCAGAATTATGACTTGGGAGTCCTCTGAGTGGTCAGAAAAATCACCTCAGTGTGTGGACCTTGGGTATAAGATGGCAAAAGACTTCACAACTGAGAGAAAACTCCTAGGCTAAAGACCCCTGGGAAAGCCAATTTCAATGATGATGAAATTTTTGAGCAAACCATAAATCATAACATAAGGTGAACTAACAAAATTGATACAGAGAAAATTCCACAATTCCACGATTGTTTTACTGCCCTCTGGGAATCCTGCTTGGGTTTATAAATGAGGGTAACCAGCTTGGGGTTCAGAAGCCAACTTCCCTTTGCCCCCTCCCTGAAAGCGAGCAGACACCAGAGTAAATCAGAGACAGGAGGTTTGTTTCTGGTTGTTGGTGACTTTTTCTTTTTTGGAAGCTGGAGGTTTGAGAAGTTTTAGGATGAGATGACATAGCCCCACTTGAAAGATCCACATGAAATGGTTCAGTGGGATCCACCTTTGACTTCAAGGATCCAGTGATACGAAAGCTTGCTGAGAGCGCTGGCACAGTCATGGAGTTTCCTGAAGTCTCTGGGTTTGGAGCCAAGGGAAAAGGGCAGGGGAGTCTGGTCCGTCTCCTCCACACCAAGGGACTCTTTGAGGTCAGCACTCAGGATGGAGGCCAAGGCCCCTGCAAAGGAAGCAGAGAATGGTCAAGTCATGGAGTTGACCCAAGGGCCACAGATTTAAGAGGGCATTGGTGGCACTCAAAAGAAAGGAAACTTGGTCTCAGGAAGAGGGTTGGATGTCCTCCCCAACCTGGTGGTGTGCTTGCAAAGATGTTTGTTGAACAAATCAACAAATGAATGTCTTTCTTCCTAGTCTTTGCCTGGCGTTTTCTACAGCATGCAAGAAGCTATGAATCTTTTTGAAAATAACTCACAGCCTTTCTGGCCAACCCAGAAATAAAAAATGAGAGAAATGGCATCTGATTATAGAAAAAGAGAAAAAGAGCCATGAAGAACATTACCCCCAGCCATTGAGAAAAACCAGTGAAACTTTGTGGAGTGCCTTGTGGATCCCATTGATGCTGTTGGAATCTCTTACATATTAATATTTTACACAATGGGTTACTACCCAATTATTCCCCCAAAGGGTATAAGTCTAGAGGTCAGGACTAAATTGCTTATCTGAATGAGCCCAGATGAGCATACAGCTATTTAGCACTGGAGGGAAAAAGGAATAAAATTAAAATTTGTGAATGCATCCCTCCACTTCCCTGGGGTCGCTCTAGGTGAACTCAGAGGAATTCAAGAATGCTTGCTGCAATACCCAGCCACTGTTGCCAGTGGAGTTTGGTCTCCCCTAGGACTGTTCTGCGAATGAGAAGATCATTTCATCACCCTCACCCTTGTAATGTATTTTTAAACCCTGTTGTACTACACCCCAAGTTTCCCTGAGTGACCTCTGGAACAAGCTTCAAAAAGCAGGGCTTCTTACATCCTCCCTACATGCTTCACTTCCTCTGGCCTTTGAAATTATTATTATTATTATTGGCATTTGAAATTCATTTAAGTAGTTTATTTTATTCACAGACAGGATCTTTTTTCATCTTCTGACCTTGCCTTATCGTTTCTAGGGAAGAGCTTCTTGAATCAATACTTATAAACATGCTCAGACCTGTGGAGGCAATCTGCCCCCAAGCATTCTGAAATTCTGCACTTTCAGACTCTCCAATGGCAGGGTGCTTTACTGTCACCTTCCTTTTAAGCCTAGTGAGGTCAGGCACACAGAGGAGGCCTGGGTCTCCTGCCTACTATTTTCTTCTTTAAAAATAGGCTGGGCTGGGGCTGGAGCTGGGAGTACAGTCTAGTAGTAGAGCACTTGCCTAGCATGCATGAGGTCCTGGGTCCATCTCCAGCACTGCTAAAACAACGCAAAATAGGTTGCTTTGGACAAAATCAGCACAGCTAGACATTCATCCATGATAGAGACAGGATTGACAAAGGCATCTCTCTACCTCTTGTTGCTGGTGGTGAGGGGGAAGCAGAGGGAAACAAACCTGATTTAATCCCAGATAATCTACCATCTTGAAATACTACCCCACCTACTACTGTATTCAGTTGGGATAAGGAAGCAAAAGGCAAAATTAAAATGAAAAACCAATCAAATAAATGAAAGATACAAAGTGATGTTCAAAGACATTAAGCAAAGGAGTGCATCTTGGCTAATTCTGGATTAGAAGGCAAACATTGTAGCCCCTCCTTCCCACTCCCCCATCCAGGGAAAAGGAGAAGAGTAAGAAGGGTGTCCCTGGAATTCCTGCTGCTATGAAGATGAACAGAGTAATCAACATACCAATCATCTGTCCCACTGAGTGAGCCTGAGTGAGCAGCATGAGGCTCCGCAGCAAGGACCCCATGCATCTAACAGCAGAGACCCTATCATCCAGGGGGGAGGGCAAAGCCACATCTGGAGTTGGGCCAGACCCAGTGCCACTGTGCCCCATGCATTCTTCCAGTCCTCAACTTTTTGATGGTGCATCCTCAGTCTGCCATGGCACCTATGTGCCAGCTGCACTCCCTGATGGATGGGGAGGTGGCAGCTGCAGATAAGCAGGTAGGCCACAAAAGAGAAGGCTTCTTTCCTGATAGGATAATTCTACTTGCAAGGTGCTGGCAGAGGCTGCCCTGACTTGGCCTCTTCCTGGTGATGGAGGCTGGAGGCCTATACAAAGACCATTCAAACCCCACTTACCTCTATTGTGGCAGATGTGGAAGGACACCCAAGGAAATGAAGGGCCTCAAGAGTAGAAACCTTTGCACCAAATCCCCCTGTTGGGAGGAGATTGTGTGACCTCCTATGTCCCCTCCCTACTTAACACCTGGGCTCTGAGGCTACTAATGCTTCTGGGAGCTGACATAAGTGAGCCTGATTTGGGACAATATTGGAACTAGGCCAAACCCATGACTGAGAAGAAGAGAAAAGGCAGCTGGGCTGGAGGTCAGCTCTCTGTGGTGCTGCTGTACATCTGGCCTGCAGGTATAAAGGCCCTGCCTAGTAGATGGGATTTGAATTTTGGATAAACCAAAGAATCCAGGCTCTAACTTGCACTTCCATAGGTATTGAGACAAACTGGCTGGCTTCTGTGCCATGCATTCCACATGGGTGATGTTGCTAATCAAGGGAAGTTCACTCATTTGCTTTCTCCTTTGAGTGGCATTGCCATGGTCACTATCAGCTCCTCTCCTGCCTGTGAGCCATTACAGCCCAGGCCACACCACAGAGGGTTTTTAGATGGCTCTGCCAAGCAGCTTCTGTTCAGTCCATTAGAATGTCCTAAGAAGGGCCTGGACCCCAGACCCAGAACAGAAAGGCTGAGAGGTTACACCTGCTTCAGCAGACTTGCCCTCTAGATCCTAGACTGTGGATGGGGTTCTCTACCCTCTGTGCTCCAACAGCTTTTGTCTGCTTCACTTCCCACAGCTGTTCCATTCAGCAGCCTCTTCCACAACCAGCCCTCCCTGCCTGGAGGCCTCCATTAAGGCAAGTAGTCAAAGGCCACCCAGCACGAGCCACATCTTATCTGCCCATCTCAAGATCCTGCTCTTCTAGGATCAGGCAACAAAAAAGGGGGAGGCCCCTGCACCCATTGGTTTCCTGCAGCCCCCCCCCCCCAAAAGGGTGGGTGACAAAGACATTTTCCAGGATGGCAGGTGTTGGTGTCAGATTCCACCCAGAGTGCACAGGCAGAAGAAAGGCAGGCAAGGCTGGGCTTCCCCGGGCAGCACAAACATGCAGGGGCAGGAGAGCAGGCAGGGTCCCTTGGGAGGATGGCAGGAGGCACCAAAACCAAGGCTCAGGAAAGCAAGTGGGCATGCAGCAGTGTTAGGGATGGAGGGGAGCATGTTAATAAATTTACACCCCCCCAAAAGCAGGGTAAATGGGAAAACACACTGAAGTGTCAGTCTTACCTTGCTCAAATATTGTAATGAGACCTTTATATATTTTAATCTGAAGGGAAAGAGCATAAAGTCAAATGAACACAAGCATGGCACCCCCATGGTTCCAACTTGATAATTAACACAGTGCTAATAATACACATATTCCCGAGCTGCCTGAGTATTCTAGAAGACTTGCAGATCATTAAGACCTGAAAATTCTACTTGATGGGACAAAATACTAGCTGTTATTGCACTTACAAGTGGGAAATGAAAGAGACATTAGAACTCCTACAATGTATGAAGCAGACCTTGGTAGGAGCTCTTTCCTTTTCCTGATGCACAACCTTTCCTGACTGATTGGGTTTGAAAAACGATCAAGTTTTTAAGACTAGCATTGAATTCAATGGATGCCCTGAAAAAAAAAAAATTGAAATCCCCCAGGTGTGCAAGTTTCCATGACTCCAAGTTTCATTTTACAGGTTTCTGAGCTGTACAGTGTATTAACTCAGTCCTGATGTCACCTGTAAAGTGACAGTCCCCAGGGAGTAAACATGCAGCATGCTGTGCAGAGGAAGGCTCTGGAAGGAGACCCTGCAATAGTGAAACTGGACCAAAGGTCACTCTCACCCAAAGAGAAGCATGTTCTCAGCAGCCATGATGAAAGGAGGGAGGATCTTAGCCTTTCCATACCTGTGACACGTTCCCCATCACCCACTCATTCTATACCAGCCCAATTCCAATGTGGGCTTTCCCTAGCAAATACACCCTCTTTCTGCATCAGACAGTAACTTCTCACCCCAATCCCTCACAAGTCTCCTGAATTTGGTGTCACTAGACCACCATGGAATCTGGACAAAGGACATTTATCAGTAACATGGACCACTGTCTGCATGGCCACAGTTGAAAAACAGGGATTTTTTTTTTGCTGGCCCCATCTGCAAAGGTTAGCACACTGACAAGGGCCAGTTCTAAGGGAGTTCAGAGCAACATTGGAAGAAGGACCACTGACACTATCTTAGCTGAGTCTTTCTAAAGAAAATGTGCATGTCAACAAAGACACATTTTCCAATCTATTTATGAATATTCACAGTCACCCCCCAAAAGTCAATTATATATGATTATCAATTTTTAGATTAATGTCTGATCCTGAATGACCTAGTAACATTTTCTGTACTACCCATTTGATTCCGATCACCCTTAATGCTGCTCTTTCTTGACATGTGGACATGAGACGTTCTGGGCTTGTGTTGATTGTTCATAACAGACTACTATCCTCTGGATAATGTAATTATCTAGATTTCCCATTTCCTCCAGTTTACTGTGCGTGGACTCCCATTTTCTCTCACAGGGAATGGCAGAGCACAGAGTGTCTCTGCACGGCTCTTCCTTGAGTTGAGGAGGCTCAGCTTTTCAGAGCACCATGCTACTGACTCTCTCCCATGCGAGCAAAGGCTGTCTTTATGAAGGGGCTCCTTGATCTAACTCCCCTGCAGCCCCCTTGGCCCCGGTTATGCCATGCATATGGATCCCTGATTGGTGGAAACCAAGAAAGCAGATGGCATGCTAACAATGGAGGACTTGTTTGTAATTGCTGATGAGGACTGGTTTGCTCCTCTCCTGAGTGTCCCCAGACGCAGCCTGGCATGGTGTGCCTGACCACAAAGAATGTCTCAGTAACTGCCAATCCATGGTTGAGTTAAGGAGATGCAAAGACAGAAGCAGTTGTGGGCTGTCCTGATTATTCCAT